GGAGAACCTTCCTGCCTTGGTCCGTCCTGTTACCCGAGAGCTGATCCAGGCTCGGGAGGAAAAGGCAGCGCGGGCGCGCCAGAAGCAGATTGAAAAGGAAAACAAGGAGAAGGAAGCTCTCAAGAAATTGGAGAAGGGCAAACTGAGCCACCTGGAGATGTTCCGGACCAACGAGTACAGCGCCTGGGATGAAGAGGGTCTCCCTACTCGCGATGCTGCGGGCGAGGAGATTACAAAGAGTCGGGCGAAGAAGCTTCGAAAGGACTGGGAGAGACAGAAGAAGCTACATGAGACTTGGCTGGCCAGTCAAATGGGCGCCAAATAGGGTGTCATAAAATAGTCTTTCGGATGTATCTATGCATTATAATGGCGTTCTTGGTTCGCCGTGTGGCAGACCCTTCCGTTTCATATCTATATCTACACTATCCCTGATGATCGTTTATAGCAATCAACCCCAGTCATTGAAATATTAGATCCTCCATAGCTTCGTACCATCGCTGAATGAAGCGGGCTATGCAGTTTATGCACCGCACAAAATCCCCGGATCACATGCTAAGAGCTCCGGTGATCCACTCAGTCACCAGACAGACAAACACCACGGGGTACAGAGTAGTACTAAGAACCACCATTATTATTCGATCATCTCATCAAAATAAAGACACTCCTGAAAGATCAAGATTAGCTGGTTCTGGGTCTACTCCACAACCCACGTCCGAAACCCCATCGGCCCATCTGGAGATACCTCCAAATTAGGGATCGCTGGCCGACAAACCGCAGGCCGACGACACCTTTCGACCTCGGCAACTCGCTCTCTCCACACTGAGAGGCCCGCGGTTACGCGGTTCGGTGGTCAGCACAACGGCCGATTTCTCAGCATAGCGAAGCGTGCAACTTATGTTAATAGCTGCTTCTTTCCTGTTTTTAGAGATTCTCGGAAGATTTTGGCATAGAAGAATTCAACCATTTTCGCATTCTAGAACTTGATAGTGGAGTGTCATTCTGTTAGCTCGTCTCCGCGACAAGATGCCTTTCAACACTGCGTTAACGAGGAAACTGGGCATCGCCGGTGAGTTGCATGGACTTGGGGGATATTGAGAGTGGCTCGAGGTTGCTGACGAATTCACAGTCCCTGTGGTACAGGGAGGTATGCAATGGGTTGGATACGCGGAGCTCGCTGCGGCGGTTAGCAACGCAGGTGGTCTGGGAATTGTACGTCTACGAGTCTCTCGACACAATCGATTCTGAAAGACAATCGCTGACTCAAGAAAGCTCACTGCTCTCACGCAACCCACCCCCGAAGACCTCCGCAAGGAGATTCGCCGATGCCGAACCATGACCAAGAAGCCTTTCGGCGTGAACCTGACCCTCCTCCCAGCCCTCGTGCCCCCAGACTACGCCGCCTACGCACAAGTGATCATCGACGAGGGCATCAAGATTGTTGAGACAGCCGGCAACAACCCCGGGCCCGTGATTACGCAGCTGAAGAAGGCCAACACGATCATCCTGCACAAGTGCACGACCATCCGCCACGCAAAGTCTGCCGTGAAGCTGGGCGTGGACTTCCTCTCCATCGACGGCTTCGAGTGCGCCGGCCACGTCGGAGAGCACGACATCACAAACTTCATTCTCCTCAGCCGGGCGCGCCAGGAGCTCAAAGTTCCCTTCATCGCCTCGGGTGGGTTCGCGGACGGACAGGGTCTTGCAGCGGCGCTGGCGCTCGGTGCGGAAGGTATCAACATGGGTACCCGGTTCATGTGCACTGTTGAGGCGCCCATCCATCAGAAGGTCAAGGAGGCCATTGTGGCGTCAGACGAGAACGACACCAACCTGGTTATGAGACGGTGGAAGAACACCACTCGTCTGTTCAAGAACAAGGTGTCGGGGGAGGCGCTGAAGATCGAGAAGGAGAGCAAGACGGGCGAGTTTGCCGAGATTGCGCCCTTCGTTAGCGGCAAGAGAGGCCGCGAGGTGTTCCTGAACGGCGACGTTGACTACGGAGTAAGTTCTTACTTACCCCCTTCCCGTTGACATCCCTTGTTTTTCGAGATTCCATAAACTAACATGGTTTAATTCGCAGGTATGGACCGCCGGTCAAGTTATTGGTCTGATTCACGACATCCCGACGTGCGCGGACCTCCTGCAGCGGATTGAGAGAGAGGCTGTCGAGGCTGTCGATCGGTCCAGGTCGTTGTACACGGCAACCGCAGGGCAAAGCAAGCTGTGAGGTTAGACTATCTAGTTTTGTTGCGATGTTTCGTACGCCAGCAATCCAGATTGAGATAGTTGGATCATGGATGTTTCTCATTGGTACTAGGAATGTAGATCCCCAATATAAGCGAGATGAACACTGCCAGTGACCGCGTCTTTGTTATTGATCCTGTCTAGCTAAAACTCTTCCTGCGGAATGTAAGGACTCTTGGCTATTTTGCTTGGATCTTCACATGTTTTTGAGAACGCACGGAGCTTATCCCTTGCCTCCCTTCCATAGCGGGGCGGACAATTGCCGGCATTTATCTAAGAAGTGAACGTGACTTTCGTAGAACGTGTAGGCAAAGAGCATGAGGCGCTATCTGAACTGTAAATGTGTCTTGCGACAGAGAATGATGTCAGGAGGAGTCGGGTAAAATGGAGTAGAAGTGATTTGGTGTGATCCCCAAAGCCAGCGTCATAGCCCTAACTTACCATGTAGCTATTAGAGCTCAACAAACCCATAAGATTACGATCATCCATATACTGATGTGAACGCTGCCTACTCCAGTAGGGCTCACTTACAGTCATGCAAAGAAAGCAATAGACCTCAAACATGTGTCTGGTCCTTACTTTGTGCTATACTACACGCCGAGCATAAACTCCCGTTGTTCGAGTGCTCAGCTATCACGTAGATGAAACCATGGGTTAGCTGAGATAATGTCTCAAGTCAGGAAGAAGGTTAATTTGTTTGTTGACATACTGGTCACCGGTGAGAGGCGACAAGATGCATCTATATATGTCGGTGGACGTAGCTGTAACTCGACTGCATCTGATTCAGTTTGCGTCAGTTCCAAAACTCAGAGTTTACCCTCAGAAAGTGTACTGGGAATTCATGAACGGCGGCCCATCGCAAGCATGGACTTGATATCGTCAGTGTTTCCCTGTATCCAGCGACGGAAGCCGCTCAAATTTCCAGCTCAAGAGCAAAATGGCGTGCAGCCGGAGAGTGAAGCGTCTCAGGCCTCTTCAGCAACGTCACGAACCGTGCCCAGCAAGTCCTCGGCGAGGATGTCGATTCGGATCGTTGAAGCCGTCGATTCGCAGACGACCATTTGCCCCGAGGAGCCTGTGAATGATCATGACGGGCTCCAGGAGAGCGAGAAACAAAGACCTTCTGTCTCATCTGTCGAGCATAAAGACGCAGACGCAGAGTCGGCGAAAGACGCCAACGTCAGAGTCATCCACATGGATCTCGGCGATACCCCGACAGCAACGCATGACCGTCACAGTCAAAAAGAACCACTGATTCCCGCCCTACCTCCCAAAGCTGCAAAGCTCCCGGAGGTCAAAAGCCGCATGATAGAGAACATCCCCGAGGAAAGCGACGATGACGAGGGCAATCCATCATCATTCGAAGGCCCCACCGAGAAATCATCTCAAGGAGACGCTAAACGCAACTCAACCTGGCGCCAGAGCTCCAGAAAGTCTCTGGTCGACATCATCAACCTCCTGCAATCAACCACAAGCAACAACATCAGCACCCTCCGCATCAACAGCCTGAAGTGGCCCTTACCACCCAAATCCCCCCACCGGCCCTCCACAGCTTTATCCTGCCGCTCTTCGTCTTCGCTGAGCTCGTCCGTAACAGCTACCGTCGAATTCGAGAAGCCGGCCCCCATCGTCAAGAAAGAGAGACGGATGGGAGCAGCGATCCTCCCCACGATCCGACTGGGGCCTCGGAGATGGAGCGTCGATGACGGGAGCATTGGCAACGACAGCAGCATCAACATCAAGGGGCCTCGGCCTCTTTTTTGCGAGTAACGGAGTTTGGAGTCTGGCTTTCTTGTTTGAATGGTGGTTTCGGTCTCTTTTGGCGGTTGTGGGGTCTGTGTTTCTATGATCGTTTGGAGGCCTGGTTGCGTGGTCTGTTATCTTGCCTGTGGATATTTGATTCTTCTTCGTCCTCTTCTTCTTCGTTTTGTTTCCATCTCTTTTCTATCTTGGGGTGATTGATATACATATCTTACAATAACTTAATCCTGTATACTTGCTGGCAAAGAAAGAGATTTTATTCAATGCGATATTCTTAATGTCAATCAAAGAATTCTGCTATTTGTCTCAATGCTGGTTGTAGCTGGCAAAGAGGGAGATTCCAGTCAATGCGGTATTCGTCTTACATCGTTAATCAGAGAGTTTTGAGTTTCAACTTGTTGCTGACTGCAAAGTCCATATAGTGACTAAAAATGACGATGGACAACAGAACCGGGTCAACTGTAGAAGTACATGGAGCTTCGAAGTAGTGACATTGGGTAAACCTCTGAGATGCGCGACTACAGGTCTGCAGGTAATCAAGTGATTTACATGGGAAGGTGACCAAGTGAGTTTCGAAGAGAACGCGTCACATATGGACGGAAAGATTGCGTGGTATGGCTGGTGACGGCTATGGCGCGCTTCTGGTGTGAGAGGAATGCTGGAATTTACATTTACATTCGCATTGGGAAATTACCATTGCCATTGACTGCAATGAATGTCAGGAGGAAAACAAGTTTATGAGGCAATTCTATGCATTAAATTATGTATGACAAAACCAGCATCGATAAATGCTGTTTGCCCACAGGCAGAAAGTATTGGGGAAAACAGTGCAATCTTCTTTCTCCGAGTGCCACAGCACGATTAATGATACACAATTCAGCAACAGGGACCCTATCTATCAAACAGAAGATTCCCGGGACCCTGCTCCCTACCCCGAGACGCCATATCGAATCTCCAGACGCTGGCTGAGAGCGCCAATAGCAGAAGCGACGAGTAGCTTACAGGATAGAACCGAGGGCAATGCAAGGAAGACCCAGGCCAATGAGGGAGCCGCTCTGATGGACGTCAGTGGAGACCTAGACATTTGTAGAAGAAGACTTACGGCATCGGAAGGAGAGTTCTGGCAGCAGGCAATATTCTGCTTGCACTGCTGGTTGACCAGGTCCTGGATGGGAATCGCAAGAATGGCGACTGGAATATGTTAGTATGGACGACTGGTCTTTGAAGGAGAAGCTTAGCGTACCCTGGAGATCCAGCTTGGAGCACTGGTCGAAGAGACCGAGACCCTCGGAGCCAGATCCACCGCCGATGAGGTTCTTGAGAGTACCAGCGAGGATACCCTCGTCGACGTCGGTGACATCACCGGCCCAGGTGGCCTTGTTGCAGCAAGAGAGCTGAGCCTGGTCACCACACTTCTCGGTAGCCTGCTTCACGGTCATGTTGTCAGGAACGGGGAAGCGGACGTTGGCGTTGCCCTTGTTGCCAACACCGTTTCCAGCAGCATTAACATCCTTCTGGGGAAGGGCGGCCACGGAGACGGCCAAAGCGAGGACAGCAGCGCTCAAAGAGAACTTCATTGTGACAGTGGAATTTGAAAGGAGTGGAGACTCGGAGTGATTGGTTTGGAAGAAAGGTGAGAAGATTGTACTTCAAAGGATAGGTTTGTCAACGAGAGTGATGGTTGATGGAGAGGAAAGAGAATGGTCAGAGGTGAAGTGCAGACATCTTTATATAGACTCAGGTGGAGGCAGCGGGCTCTCTGTTGATACTAGTTCTACCCGCCCTTGATTGAGCTCTCTGTCATTGTAGCTATCCAGCTTGAGTCCCTGAGTGGAATGTGGTATGCAAGGAAACCATCTTGATTTGTCCCTCAGGAGTCAGAACCGCATTATCGCAATCTCGCGGCCCTGGTTTGAAGCTCTCTGTCCCAGCGGTTGGTATGGATCTGCAAAACATTCGATTGATCTGAACCGACGAGTCAGCCTCCAGCATACCACGCCCTCGTGAGCCACGCCTCGTTCAGGGGACGGCCGTGCTTCGACTGAGACCGCATAGTCCGCGTCTTCTGTCTCATTCCCCTGGTTCTACTACGTCGATCATTCATGCAAGCGGTAAGCTCACCTGTGCCCGCTTGATCATTGGGTTGCATTACCTGCCACGGAGCTATCGCAGCGTTACCGCATTCAAAACAACTTTCGTCTTGAGTCTCCATATCACACGATTGGGGCCAATTCCTACGGCTTCAGCCATTCCATCAGTGGCGCATCCCGTATGACTCCACTCTCACTTGATACAGAGTGAGCACCTGCTGGCATAGCACGGGAAGGGCTAAGCCTTAAGTGATCAGGGATCGGAGTCTTCGAGGGCCAGTCGTTCGGTATGCAGGTGCCAATGGTTCCAACGTGCATGTTGCTGATTTAATTCAAGGTTGCAGAAACTTCGCAGCGCCTGCAAAGCCTTGTTGTTGGTCTGCAAGGGACTCTCCATCTCGTTCAAATCATCGGTAGTGTATGATCACCGCAAGGGTTACGACGTAGCTGACCCTGTCCCATGGCTCCAGCAGTCCAGCCTCATTCTATCTCGTCGTCATCAACAAGATTAAATTTCCGACTGTGCTCGAGCCGGTTTCTCTTGTGTTTCCTTTGATGAGAGCTCCAGCCAGGCTCATGCTGGAAAAGGAAAGCTGATTTCCTCCTTTGCTTTTGTTCCTGGCAACGAATGAGGCAAGGGGCTGCCAATCGGAACTATGCAGCATGTAGATGGGTGCTTTTCCAGATGTGGTAAGCCATCCTGTGTTCCCGAATGTAACTCGCTCCGTTCGCAGTTGCTCGTCGCTGAGTCGTGATGAAATCGACTTTGGTTCTCTTTCCGTTTTCACTCTAGCTCACATGTTGCTGTCGGGGTAACTCACCCTGCGCTCCACATTACTCAATTGAGGATCTTTCAAAATAAATAATAAAGAGCCTCGTGCTGGATGGATGATGAGCTGGTCGCATGGCCTGATCATGAGTTGTGGTCATGTAGAGCAGGCATCTCAATAGTGTAGCCGTACTCCAGTCGTCGAAGAGGTCAATAGAACGGTGTTCTCTCTAATGATGATTACCTTGACCGAAGACTATGCTTGATCATTGACATACAGTTTCTGCACACGCTGCTCTCTCTATACAATGTGTCATCCCGAGGTGCCAGTATACTTCGATATAGAGTAGATGCGTCCTTTGAACCTGCAGTTATTCCTTCAAGATCATGTTCGTGGGCATTCAATAAATATGTGTAACTAGTACCCAGGTCCAGGGACTACAGTGTCATCCTCGTCGTTGCCTTCTGCTGAAATGAATGGTGCGTGTTGGGACTGAGTCTGTGTAGGTTGAGATATATATTTCTATCTGCCACATCTGCCACATCTAGCCACATCCACCCACAAAACATCCCACAACATGTATGAACTTCCAGTTAGATTCTTTTGCATATTCAGCACTATGGAATACACATCTAGATGGTACAACAAATGTAATGGTACGTACTACATGAGCTACGATATGGTTATTCCTTAATGCTGTTCTGAGCTCCGTTGGTCTATACAGGGCCGAGAAATGACAATATGAGCTGTGCAGTGTCAAGTCGTCTCAATCCATTACTGCCTAGACTTGTCCTCAACTAGACTGGACCAGAAATATCCTACAAGTCAATGAGTCATATATCCCACTACAGAATGCTGTTATGGCAGAAACCCTTTTGTTTGACGACAGTACCACTCATCGTAGACCGTAGACCGGCGCAAACTACCACTCGGCGTCGCTAACATCTCAACGACCTCAGGATTTTTTATCTATGTGATAAACTCTTAGTATGATCCAATGACCTGTCCCAGTGTCTACAGTCGTGACTATCTAAGCGGTCACATTCCTGCCTCCTATTCTAATCGCTGACTATCCCTTGACGGAGACAGCTCAAATGAGACTGAGGTCTGGGCGAATAATCGTAACAGCTGTCTCAGAGCCTAGGCATTGCTAATGAGATTTACACTCAATGGAATGCTGAGGTTGAGTTTCAAATTGCTGACAGCCCGGCTGTGATGACACAAACAAACACAACGAGTTATTGGCAATCTTCCATGTTGTCGCCGTCACTATCCAGTCCATCATTGCGACCATAGGCCCTTCAGCATAGAAATGGTGTCCTATCTCTCAGCCATCGAGGTTACTGAAGATCAGCTTAAATCAAGCCCTCGGTATCAACCTAGACTACGCCGAAGCAGTCTTGCCATTGCTGTCTTGCCCTGCTCCTCGTTTGTGCTCGAGACTATTCCAGCAAGCAATCAGGCCTTGGATGGAGCTTTTCATCGGTCTCATGAAAGCGACCTAGCTTGCCACCTTTGACGCGTTGGCCTTGATTAAGCTAGCAGACTTCCGACGTCGAATGCGAAGTAGCCTCTATTTTTCATTCCTTCGGCGAGCAAATCAGGGGGAAAATAAATTGGATTTTCTGAATGATAAGAGGCAGTGGAAAGGAGAATAGCATTTATATATGCATTTCAACTGGTGAGAGCGTCGACCGTTGGTTCCAACACGAGTAGGTATATAGATAGAACAGAGGACTCGTGCCTTGACGCCTCGATGCCTTGATGCCTCAGGGTTCGAGAAGTAGATATATGATCTAGTCCTGATATGGTTAGCCTACGATGATGATTATTGGAGTTGATCGTCCGCTGCGAGTCTGCGGTAATGCTCAAGTAATTCTGCTACGCCTCTCCGCATCTTTGTTGACAAGCTTCTGGACGTACTTTCAGCTGTTCAAGCAGTGCTAACTCCAAAATGTCCGCGAACCCTCCGTCTAGTCGTCTTGACCGTTCCCCCAGCACAGAAAAAGGCGCCACGGACAGCTTATCCGAGCTGCCCGTGGACAACCAAGAAGAATCGAAGACTCGCTCGCAGGACACGCATGAGGAAAAGAAACCAACACAGAACAAGGACCAGGGAAATGACACATCACCAAGCAATACGACAGATGCCGAAGACAACACAACAGGCCCACATGATGAAGAGATTGCGAAAGAGGAGGACGCTTCTGCGCCACCATTACCAGACGAACCACTCCCACCCCCGCTACCCAACGAGGCTCCTCCCAGTGAGGACGATGGCTGGGAGCCCGTCTGGGATGCAACCGCTCAAGCGTACTACTTCTACAACCGCTTCACGGGCGTTTCGCAATGGGAGAACCCACGGGTGCCGGATGCAGCATCAGCATCAGCACCAGCACCGGTGCCTCTCGGCGATGCGGCGGAAGGTGTGAACGAGAAAGACCCCGTCGTAGGCGGCTACAACCCAGCGATCCATGGTGATTATGATCCCACCGCGCCCTACGCGCAGCAGCATGAGGAGAGCACCCTTGGAGGTGCTTCTGCGGCGGATCCTAGTGGCTCCTACGAGGCTCTTGGTGCGTTCAACAGGTTCACGGGCCGGTGGCAGCCTGCCTCCATAACTCCGGAGAACTACAACGATGAGAATAAATCGCGGCGGCAGATGAATGCGTTCTTTGATGTGGATGCGGCTGCCAATGCCCATGACGGGCGGAGTCTCCGGGCGGAGCGCAGTGCTAGGAAACTCACCAAGAAGGAATTGAAGATGTTCAAGGAGAAGAGAAGGGAGAAGAAAGAGGAGAAGCGGAGGGCGTGGCTACGCGATTGATGCGAGGAATGGTATTGTTGCTTTCGTACTACTGCTGCTGGATTTTTGAGATACCTTGAGATACCTTTTGATTCTGTGCATGGGGTTGGGGGCGTTTTGACAGATGTACTATATGGGATTGCATAGCATAGAAGCAGCGCGTTTTTTTCTCTTCAACAATGGCCTTCATGCCCACAAAATTCGTAGTCTTGCTAGTCTTGCACCAGTAGGTAGAGCCATTCAAAGATTCCCCACAACTGGTCACGTGTTCATGATATCGAAGTTTCTTTTCGCAATAGTCAACGAGTATACAGACGGGATATTGAGCAAACACGGAAGTATATAAACCTTTCAGATAAACGTCTTTGATCCTAAGGTAAGTGAATTCTCCATTTTGTCTGCGTGTGGTAGCCGGTCTGGGATATCAACTTTTGCGAGTGCGCCTTATCGATATATATTAAGCATCATGGAGGGGCATGACTATATTCTACAATTTGTACCTCTTCATGACAGAAGATGACCTCTGTTGATCAATCCCATGCTCTTTATCTCAGACTTTCAATTGTGATTCCACCCACCTATTGTTCCTACATGTTTCGCTGAAAAATTTTCTCATCCGGCTGCCATCCGTAGAACCGCTTCACGCATGGAAAAAAAAAAAGAAACTTTATGTCAATAACTAACCTAAGTCACAGATACCAAATAACTGCATTGGAGACTGCATCTGAAATCAGATAGAGCATACCCACATCCAGAAGCATTTTCTTCATAGAATCTCCAAACAAAAGAAAACACAGCGCAAGGATGTCCACATCCACATCCACCCCAGTCAAGCTCTCCTTCGAGGCAATCGACGACCTCATCTACGACGCCCGTGTAGGTGACCTGGACGCCCTCAAGGCGGACCTCGCTACCCAAAGCAAAGAGCACAACTGCCCCGAGGCATGGATCATCGCCTCCGCCATCGACGCAGAGCCCGAGGCTGAGGGCGGCTCGGGCTCCTGCCTGCTGCATTTTCCCGCGGCGAACGGCAACGCCGGTATGTTTGACCCAACCGGGCTTGACTCGACTTGACTTCTGGGTTGTGTAGATCCGGCTGACAGATGCAGAAATCTTAAACTATCTTCTGGCAACTCTAAGCGCGCAGTCTTCTGCGGCGCCGCTCTCGGCGGAGAAGATCGCGGCTGTGATTAACCATCGCAATCACTCGGGGAATACGCCGTTGCACTGGGCTGCGCTGAACACGCACCTGGAATGTGTCAAGGCGCTTGTTGAGGCGGGTGCGGATATCGCTATTAAGAATGATGCGGGGCTGGATGCGATTTTCCTGGCGGAGCGGACAGCTTGGTCGACTGAGGAGGAGGGTAAGGGGGCTGAGGGTTCTGGGGAGGCGTCTGCTGAGGAGGAAGGTGCTGGGGAGATGTCCAAGGGTCGGCAGGTTGTGGAGTGGTTGCTGAGCTCTGATAAGGCCGGTGACTTGGAGGGAGGTCTCAGTGTCAGTGCTGGTGTTGGTGCCGAGGGGTCGGCGTCGGCGTCAGGGTCTGGGTCTGGGGAGGCGATGGATGTGGATGAGAAGAAATGATTACGACTAATCTGCCCTGTTTGTTGCTTCCGGAGTAAATATCTCTTTTGTTACGAATACCATTAGACAAAAGTTCAGAGTTGACAGCTTAACGAGGATAAGTTCATTCGACGTATCTAGATCTAGTTCATATGTTCAGCGTCGCTTGGTCTATCTATAGTGATATGTAAACATGAAATGTATTGTTAGTCGCGTCGAGCCTTGGCTCGAACATGTTGAGAACTGCCTTCCCGGCTAGAGGCAGATACGCGCGAGGCTGGACTGGAGTAGGAACCTTCCATCTGGACGCCCTTCCCAGCCCTGATCTCCCGGACCTTCATATTGAGACCAACCCGGAATCGTCGGTCACGCCATTGAACAGTCACGCCCCCGTAGAAGGCCCAAATCCAGATGGGCAAAGCGAGCATCTCTCGGCCCAGCCATGCCGCAAACCAGTGGAGGAACGGCCGCCTCGTCCGTCGGTGTGTGGCAGGCTGTGCAAAGCAGGGCGTATCGTCGTTCAGCTCGACAGTCTTCGCAGAATGCAATTTGATGTACAATGTCCAGTCGACCAATACCCAGGCAGCGATGCTCAACAAGAAGATTGTGAAGAACGCCGTCCACGAGGTCATCTGGCCTGCGAACCCCAAGCCTTTGCGCTGCAGGAATTGAGCGAGAGATGTGGTGGCGCCCCATGCCCCGTAAAGAGAACATAGGATTGATTCTGTGCCTGGCTCAACCAAGGTCGCAAGAAGGACGGTGAACTTGCGCACGCGCAGCCACCGAACTCGACGTGCCATATAGCCCCGGACGCTCATGCTCGCCACAGGCTGGATGGCAAGGTCACCAAAGACCATGCCATGTTTGCCCCAGCTTTCGCCCAATTCCTTTTCTTCGCGTATCTGCTTTTTCCAAAGCAGATCGCCAATCAAGTGATCCTCACAGATATTGTCAGAGAAATAATCAATACCGGGACGGCGTGGCTGCGGGTCCGTCGGGGATGGTTGCGTCAAATAGTCCAGATGAGACCGGCGAAACATGTTGGATTTCCCAACAATGCACGGGGCGATGAGAACCGTGTTGATGGCAGTATACATCTTCGCATGCGAGGATGCCAGAAACAACTCCTCTAATCGACCGCCTCCAGTCGCAAGCCAGCCAACTTCTCGGTGTTGTTGCTCAATCATGGCAAAAGCGTCGCGCCTCTCGGAAGCAGAATCGCCTTGGGCGCACGCTTGAAGAAGGGCCTGCCGCTCCTCCCTCAAACCGCTAGTCCCCGTCACATCCACCGCAATCGGCAAGTGGTGTACGAACTTGTACTTCCTGCCCGGTGTGTCCCCAAGCCCACATAGTCTGTCCACCATCCGCCCACAAACCCCTCGTCCCACCCACACGTTGCTGTCCAGGATCCATACAATATCACCCTTGGCCTCTCGGTAGGCACGGCTCATGTTGCGAATCTTGGGATTGGGCCCCAGATGGTAGTTGGCTGCATTGTTAGGCTGCAGTAACGGATCCTCCTCTTCGATGTAGATGTGCGCGTCGGCGTGCGGAAAATCTGCCAGAAGTTTGTGCAGGATCGGGTAAGCGGGATCTGCTCGAGACGAGACGCAGAAGTAGACGGTCAGTTTGTCACGGGGATAGTCTTGATAGAAAGTTGCAGCCAGGCAGTCGTAGAGATATGGCTCAAGGCCTTTGACGGGCCGAATCGCGGTGATGTGAGGGGTGTTGGGCGACGAGGCTGCATGGGATTTCCGAGGTTTGCGTGAAAAGTGCATCCATCTGTCCACGTACGACACATTAGTTCAAGTCGCAAGAGGCAATTGAGAAACAAGTACATTTGAAAGTATCCCAGAAGACAGACGGCGAACACGGTCGTATACCAGATCAAGCACACCCAACCCACTGCAGTCGACCACGCGAGTTCGCCATGTCTGACGGCCGATCCGACATTCAAGCGACTCAATTGCGATTGATGCTCTAGCATGGGCGAAGACGACGACAGAGAAACGACAGAGAGGGGACGCAGACGTTCACAGAGGACATTCTACTGGAAACGGGCGGTGGAGAAATTCGACAGAAGCGAAAGTGGTCACCGGAAGCACTAGGATATCATCGATACTGCTCATCGACTGATTGACAACAGTACCGCCAAGCTATAGTATTATATTGTCATGACCCCACGGGAGAGACATGCTTGCCTAGGCGTGTCACTAATTTGAACTAACTGGGTTGGTATTCCACTCGGATGCAACGGTTCAACTTGTGGACTATGGCGCTATGGGAACAAAGACGCGCCAGCTCACAGCCTCAATTCAGGCAGCGCAATAATCACATTATGTTAGAACAATGACAAACAACTAGCATCTAACTTAGTTGCCGAGTCTCATACACTAGCTCACTGACTATTTCACAGGTCTATTCAGAGAAAAAAGGCGGATTTGTTTCCATTATTATATCTTTGATCGTTTGCAATAGCACCGTAGACTCAAATCAACAACAAATGGAGATTTCAATATCTTAAAAAAAATAAGCGAATCCCTCAATGCCAAGTGCGAATTCCATACGCTGCTTTAATGACGCCAAATCAGCCAATACCCTGCTGAACTATGTAGCTGTCGCCCCAGCTCGAGAGAAAAAACGATACGCCGAACTCCGAGATCGCCATTCCATGCAGAGCGCAGTGATGCGAACCTATGTCTTCTTCTTCTTCCGAATCAAGCTGGCATTGAGCACATTCACGCCAGATGCCTGATTCGACTGGGCGGGAGTTGGGTTGGCCGCTTCAGAATCCCCTGGCGCACCTCCTACCTCGCCTGGCTTGTCGCTCTCCGCATCAGCCGTTTTGCGTTTTCGAACAACGGTTGTGTTGATGACAGTTGTAGCGTCCGTAGGTTTCTGACTTAACTCCGTCGTAGTATTTCTCCCCTCGACCCGTTGACCAACCCAAAGCTGATCAGCGAGCGAGGCCACTTTCTCGGCCCATGCCTTGGTGCTGGCGATAGCTTTATCCTTGGTGTCAAAGTCTTGATCGATAAGAAAGTTGATTGCCGCCTTGTAGTCTTCCTCACTCAGGACTGCGTGTCCTCTGCCCGTGTCTGGCCAAAAGAACGCACTGGGGCCCGTAGCTTGCTGTACTTTGGCAAGGGTATCAGAAGACGGGGCACTGGGTTGGGCGATTGATGATGTCTGGAGATCACTTGTGGAAGGTTGCGATGCAGCAGACGCAGACGCAGCTTCATCCTTTTGTTTGGTCTCATCGTGGGTTGTCTCTGCAGATGCAGGAAGAGCCTTCTCAACATCCCGCGAAGCAACACGAGAGCTTGTCATTTGAACTGAATTGACAAGACCTGGCGGATTAATGACAAGCCACAAGAACCCAACTAATCGACCGGCCGAGCATTCCTGTCGAAAGGACATCATCTCCCAAAACTGCGCAAGAGACTTCACGCTTCGCCAA